TAGACTGGGGCACGTATTGGCTGGTTAACTTTAATGCCTCAAAAACAAAACTGCTCTCTATTACTCACCAGAGAGAACCATCCTTGCTTCCCATTAGAATGTCTGACGCTCAACTCCACGAGAGCACCTCTTTGCGACTGTTCGGTCTCACATTGTCTGCTGACCTGAGATTGAACAAATACATTGAATCAATAGCTTCGTCCACCGCAAGGAAAGTTGGCTCCCTGTGCCGCGCCAGGAAATTTTTCTCGCCGGAGTCGATCCTTCAAATCTACAAATCAACCATTCGCCCTTGCATGGAGTATTGTTGCCATTTATAGCCTGGAGCCCCTTCTGTTTGTCTCAGGGTTCTTGATAAGATCCAAAGACGGATATGCAATGCAATTGTCCCTGATCTGGCATCTCGTCTGCAGCTGCTCTCTCACAGACATGCCTTCACTTCCCTCTGTCTTTTTTACAAATACTTTCACGGTAACTGATCCGATGGGCTGCTTTCGCTGGTTCCCAGACTTCATGAATTTAAGCGCTCAACTAGGCTGGCTTCTCGCTCTCAATCTTTCACTGTTAAATGTAACCGTCTCTTCTACTCCAATAGCTTCATGTCTCGCACTTCTCGTCTGTGGAAGTCCCTCCCCACTTCTTGTTTTCCTGATAACTATAATCTTCAACTATTCAAATGTAATGTCAATCGACGTCTTCAGATGCCTTGATCTATCCCCTATCCTTCTCTTCATCCTTCCCTCTATCACTCTTTCTTGTTCTCGCTCCAACTCTGTAACTCCTTGCGTGCTAGTAGCTTCCCGCCTTGTTTGGGGTTAAATGCTTATATATATATATATATATATATATATATATATATATATATATATTAATAAATATACATATTATCCCTCACCGGTAGCACGACTCGGAGTTTCATGCACAACGCAATCTTCAGGTGCTGTGTTTCGACAGACCATTACGTAATTTAAATTTAAAATCAAAATATCTGGTTATGCAATGTTCGCGTAATGCTTATATTATACGGGGATTACAGTTTTTTTTATTTTAGAAATATATTTTGCATTTAAAATAAACGGAATTTTTCATTTTATGTATAAAAATAAAAAAGAAATATTTTTCTTTAAACTTGTGAATATTAAGTTGTTTTATATCAAGCACTAGCAGGCGTTGCCCGCTCGCAATCGCTTCGCAAAGTAAGATATATTTACTACTTGAAATATTTGAATCAAAATATTTTCATTCATAAATTGGCTTGTTATAGTTAAGGAAAGTTTTACAAATAGATGCCAACTTGTGGAAGGCCAAGTAAAATGCAAATTTCAAACACTTTTCTGCACTATATGAGACAATATTCTTAAGCACGACTATTTTTAATATGAAAATCAAAACAATCCTTGAATTAAAGAACACTAATGAAGGACAGTTAATTAATGAAATATACATTTTTAAAATCAATATGCAAATTAGATAAACCTGAAATGATTTATTTCTTGTTAACAGTTAATATATCTCAACCTTACCGAATTTTACTTCCTGTCCCTGGCGTACGCGCTCGGATCCCCACCTAATAATTGACATCTCGTTCTAGTGTGGGGACAGAGTAAATCCCGTGTATAGCCGAAAGCGGTCGGATAAAAAGAACAATTGGACAGTTTTCATATAATTTATCATCCGAAAAGAAAAAAAAAATTAAATCACATAAGAAATTGTATAAGAACTAAATCAAAGCACCTTGTCTGTCGTATTCAATGAAATGTCCATGAAAGAATGATTGCTGCATAAATACACACACACACACACACACACACACATATATATATATATATATATAGAGAGAGAGAGAGAGAGAGAGTCAAACCAGAGCGCCAGACAAACCTACCAAGATTTCACCTAAGCGGATCGTCAGGGAAAGTTGGCTTTCACTGACGATCCGCTTAAAAAAACCTTGGTAGGTTTTGTCTGGCGCTCTAGGTTTGACTAGGTCTGCTCTACTTTTGTATTTAGCACCTTTTTAGTGAGTTGATTACTCGTATCGTTTTTTTTATTTGGTCTTTGGACCTGTATGCTGTACGATTATTTTCGACAGACGTTCATGTTCCTAGCTCTTTCTTTTTTTTTTAAACCTTTTTTTCCTTCGAAATTGATTTGACCATTAGCAAATCAAGAAACCGAAGGTTTTCCGAAACGAGTGTAGTTACCTATATATATATATATATATATATATATATATTTGTTTGAATAAAAAACAGACTACTTTAAGGTTCCATGTAATAAATGAAAATTGAAAAGAAAGTTACACATTTTTGACGGGCCGTATTAAGCATATGTAAATTAACAAAGTGAGGAAGTGAGAGGAGAGAGAAGACATGAGTGAGTTAGATGTACCATTTTCAATTCTTTATCCCTAACCCCACTTGGTGGGGGCCAGACAAACGCTTAACTTATGTTATCTTTAGATATATTAAGCATATGTAAAACAATGTCAAAAATGAGTAAATTTCTTTTCATTTTCATTTCAACCTTTGGAAGTAAAGTCTGATGATCCAGAGCCCTTTAAAATGGCTGTGGTGAAATAACTTATTACATGGAACCTTAAAGTGGTCTGTTTTTTATTCAAACATATTTGCTCTGAATTTACATTGAGCTCTCCGGATATCATCCTCCTTGGGTCTACCAATACGGATTACCTAGTTTTGCATAAACATATATATATATATATATATATATATATATATATATATATATATATATATATATACCAGTTTCATTAAAAACGATTGAAAACGTATTGCGGTTAAGAGGGTAATTTCTACCTTTATCCTTCCAAGGTCAGCCATATCAGTTCATTTCTAAGGGAAAACCGGATTACATCTGCTTATTCAGCCTCTAGTTTTTAAAGAAGAGGATGGTGCAATGGTTAGCATTTCTGAACGAGAAATCGACGATCAGAGTTCGAATTTCAGTCGTAGTTCACTTCTCCTACCAACAATGTGTTAGGACTGACCGGACTACCAGTCTAGAAGAAGGGAAAACTCTGGATTCAAAACTGGTCGGTGATAACAGTAACAGCTCCATCCCGTAAAAAAAATGCTGAGGAAACTAAAGCTGTGACGATGAGATCTAAACATCCGTATTTCTCGAGTGAGTGAAAATTTTAAAGAAAAGCGCTGTGAATTTTTGTACACACTTAATATTTCAAAACTTAGGTGACGTGTGGAATTGTCTGCAAGAAATGCCTCTCACGTGGAAACGCATTTCTTCCTCTGTTTGCGACACAAGCTTGAGTGTAACCATGCACAACCATGCGTCGCAGGATATTTAAGAAGGGAAATGTAATTTTTTTGTTCTTCTTTGGTTATTTGTTTTTTTTTGTTATTTTTTTTTTAAATATCAACCCAGTCGTGTGGCATTCTCAGGTCTTATGCTGGAGGGCTCACGACGACGAGCGAAGACCGTGTGAAGAGGAACACGGTACAACAAGCGGATGGGCTGTTTAATCAGCCGAGCAACAATGAAGGCCAGAAGTAAAGCAAAAAGCAAAAGGATTTGAAAAAAAAAAAAAAAAAGAAAACAAAAGTCATTGAAATCAGAAGAAAAGCAGCAGTTGTTTAAAAAAACAGTCTAAAAAAAAAAATAACAACTAGCGGCTTCTTCCATTATAAAACTCAATAAGGTTTCATCCTTAGCGATATCAAGCGCCCGCCATAGAGCTATGGTAAACAAGCTAGTCGAGGATATTCCTATTGCTATGAGTTCAGTCCACATCTTGTGCTATACCAATTTGTCCTTGTGCCCGACTAGGTTAATTTGCCGCTCTCTGGTGAAGAGTGAATTCGTTCAAGTTAGTCTCAAACTCCAATTATTTATTGAAAAACTCACTATTTTCGCCTTGTGTCAGACTAATCCAATTTTAGTAAAGAAAGTTACTTTAGTAGTAAATTCAATTTTGACTTGAAACCTCTTATTTATTACCTTGTGCCAGTTTAAGATAACCTAATGGCGCCACGGCGTGGTGTAATGGTTAATGAGGCTAGTCTAGTTGACTACTACTACTGAGTAGTGAGTTTGATCCTCACTAGGTGCCCCATACAAAAAATCGACATTAAATAGCTCAAGAAGGGTTGGCATTGTAAAATCAACTAATATAACTATGGATATAAAGTGAGGGATTATTATTTTATTGTTATTAAGTAATAAACTGACCCCCCACTTAAATTATTACCTATTAATAATTGGAGAAAAATATTTTCAAAGTTTCAAAAATGTTCTAATAATAAGAACATAAGAAAATTTCAATTTCATATATGCTGTGATTTTTAATGGTATGGATTAACGATTCTTAGGCAGCTTGGTTGAGGTAATATTTAGGGAGGCTAAGCAGCCATACCATTCGGTGATGAATTTGATCCTCACTGGGTGCCCCATACAAAATTTGACATTAAAAGGTTTGATATGTCGTAAAATCAATCATCTTAACCATAAAAATTATACTGTATATAAAGTGGGGGATCATTATTCTATTCTTATTAAGTAATAAACTGATCCCTCATTCTACATATATTCATGAGATGAGGTATTGCAACTATTTACACAATTTACATTGTTCGGACTGTTGTCATCATCTTTATTGTCCTATTCGCAACGTTTCGGCCTTCGTTTGCTCCGGCTTTCTTCAGGATCTCTCTATATTTCTGAGATGGGCTGTTGCAACTATTTACACTATTTATATGGTTCGGACTGTTGCCCTCATCTTTATTTGCACATTCACAACGTTTCGACAGTTGTACGCTCCTGCCTTATTCAGGTGATATTTTTTTGAATACAGATTGACTAATCTGACTTCGAAATTCAAAAAAATATCACCTGAAGATGGTCGGAGAGTACAACTGCCGAAGCGTTGTGAATGTGCAGATAAAGATGAGTGCAACAGTTCAAATAATGTAAATTGTGTAAATGTTTAAGATAATAATTGGCGAAAAAGGGTTAAGGCCGAATCACGTTGAAACACCGGTTCTCGTACGATCAGCGAAATTAAGCAACGTCGAACATAGTCAGTACCTAGATGGGTGACTGCTTACGAACAGCAGGTGCTGTAAGCTTGGGTGTGCAGGTGGTGTAATGGATAATGGATTGGGATTGTTAATTGGGGAGCCGAGTTTCAATTCCATTTGGGTTAACTCGAATCAATATAAGATTACAAGGCAACTCGGCGTGGAGCAATAGTTAGCTAGGCTAGTCCGTAATATTGAGTAGTGAGTTTGGTCCTCACTAGGGGCCCCATAAAAATTCGACTTAAAATAATTCAACTACATCGTACAATTAACCAACCTAACCTAATACTTATAATTCACAAGAGGCATCGAATTAATTCCTTATTATCTTCCCCACAAATCTGCATAAACTGTGCCTCTTACTCTGTAACCCTCTACCTTAAATGGCTCTTGGGCCTTGTAAAGAGTAGTCCTCACTACAGAAGATAGGTGCAACACAATCTTCATTCCTACCTCAACCTCACCACATGGCTTCTCATGTGGCTTGTTAGTATAAACATTCTACATGTATACCTCAGGTTACGTCGCTTCGAGTTAAGTCGTTCTCGATTATACGTCATTTGACAAAACATATATGGATAAATAAAAATCAAGTTTAAGTCATTTTATTCGACTTTACGTCTGTCCGACACAAATACTGAATCGTAATATCACTAGAAAAGCGTTAAAAGCACATAAAATCATGTTACTGTACAATAAATAAGAAGAAAATTATATAAAATCTTATTAAAATACGTACATTTACAGTAAATGTTAATATAATCATCATAAATCCTAGAGAACGAAATATGAAAACATCTGTTAATGTTGACGATCTACAGCCATCTACGTCCGCGATGTAAATAAACTGTGACGTCGTCCCCCGGCCGCAGCGCCGACTGTGACGTTCTATCCTGATCTACCACGGCGCCAGTTGTGACGTACCCAAACAGCACCAATTGTGACGTCCTCGCCGCGGTGCCAGCTGTTCGCTCCTCGCTGCTCCGTTCGGGTGTCGCGGCTCCAAACGTGACGTCCGCCTGTCGCGTCAGTCGTGTTGTCTCGTCCTGTGACGACCAACTGGCTTGGCACCCAAATGTGACGTTCTAACCTTTTGGTGATTCGGATGGGAATCTGGTTAGATTTGATATCAGCCTCGTCATTCCCAACTCGCTTCCAACGCCTGGTTACCAAGGTAACTGCATTGATTTCCAGTCTGCCTACCCACGTTGTGAATTGATCTTAGACAGACGAGATCAAACAGTGGTTGGGGCCGTAATGCAAACTGAGTTCAACGGGGGTTATACTACACAAATATGCATAAAAGAAAATAAAGTGAAAACTCAAAAAGTTCAAAGTATCAAAGAAAAAGGTAACAAACTTTATGTCTAGTTGTTCGATACGTAGGACTGCATCTATCTCCCGACCCGTTCTGTAGATTGTGACACGTCGTTTTCCGTTAGGCAAGTTTTTAAAGCTTCAAGTTGTTTGCTCTCTAAGAAATTGGCGTTTCGGTGTGTCTTTGGACGAAAGTCGAAAAAAAAAAAACTTATTTCGGTGGTCTGGTTCTGAGTCGCTCTTCAAAATAATTGTTCTTGGGTTGAAGAGGAGTCCGGAATTTTGCGTGAATCTTGGTCAGCTATCTGCGAGGCGGCTTCAACTGCGAGCTTCGAGCTTCTCTGCTGCTACTCCAACTCAACTCTCCGCTGGAGCCCGGACTCTCTTTTCTGCCTGTTGGGGCCTCGCTTTTATTGACGCCGACCAAAACCGGGGTGGGTCTGTCGGCGTCGGGGGTTTCCTCGATAATTCTAAATACATATCCACCTCTTTTATTTCTGGTTAGGGATTTTCCACTCTTTTCCATTTTTGGGAACTTTTCCCTTACTCCCCACTTTCTCACCATACTTCAGAGGCGTAAACTGCCCTCCCACTTCTTCGTAGCAGCTTCTCATACTTATACTCTGGACGAGGCGTCGACAGCCTCCTTCGTGCGTCACGTGATCACCACTCGACCAATGAGGTCTTAGTCGGGTATCTTTCCTCCTCCTTCGTGCGTCACGTGATCACCACTTGACCAATGATGTCTTAGTCGGACGTGAACAATCCGCGGCTTTGTTTCGGGGAAAAAAATATCTTGCTTAACTAAAAAAAATTATCTCTTCTCTTTCCCTTTTCTTCCGCTTTAATCGCCGTTATCATTTTTCTAGCCGCAAACGGACAATATGACAACTCTTGTTCTACACGTGGTTTTTGTCAGGTATTTTATCGCTAATTATCAAAATGGGTGGTCTTCTTAACACGGCCTCAAAAAAAAAAAAAAAAAAAAAGAAGAAATATCTCTAAAGTTTCAGTCAGTCTGTCGCCTCCAAGGAAGAAGAAAAAACACTTCTGGGTCCCCATTCATTTTCCTTCGGTACATATTTCTGATAACATAATTTTATTATCGCAGGCCAAAGTTGTTTCGTCGAAAAAAAATCGGTCAGCGGACACGGCTTGTGTGGTTTTTAATTTTTCATACCTACCCAAAGTCCTGTAGTTACACCTGTGTTTTGTCAATTATCAAAATTAACGTTTTCAATTGAATTTTTCGTTGGCCAGTCGAGCAGCCGTTTTGTTTACGTACTCCTAGATAACACAGCCGTTATCAAAACACATCTGTTTCTTTCTTTCTTTCCCTTTCTTCTTACCCAGAATTTCCCTGTCATTGTAATGACACCCTTTCGCTATGGTTACTTATCAATATATTCATTGTCTCTTAGCCGTGTGTGTGTTCTGCTGATCACCCACGATTCGTCTCGCCTTTCTTTCTGCCTTCTTTTCTTTCTTTTCCTTTCTCTGCCTCGTAAATAGTGCCACAAACAAATTGAATGTATATATTGGTAAATTTAACATAAATTACTTTATTTCCTACTATCGCAAAATAATTTAAATAACTCCCACCTAATATATCCACAAAACATTATTTTACCAGATCTTGTCAAAAAAATGGCGTTGAACCCACGTCAGACTTTACCTTTCTCCTTTCTCCCCACTTAAGTCTTCTCACTCTCTTTCACTCCAAGTAACCTCTTGTGTCTTCGTGGCATTATCGCCATCTTCTGTCTTCCAGAAACCTGTCCTTTTATTGTCCTTTCTCCTCACTAAAGTCTTATTCTCTTTCACTCCCAGTAACCCCTTGTGTCTTAGTGGCATTATCGCCATCTTCTGTCTTCCTGAAACCTGTTCTTTTATTGTCCTTTCTCCTCACTAAAGTCTTATTCTCTTTCACTCCCAGTAACCCCTTGTGTCTTCGTGGCATTATCGCCATCTTCTGTCTTCCTGAAACCTGTTCTTTTATTGTCCTTTCTCCTCACTAAAGTCTTATTCTCTTTCACTCCCAGTAACCCCTTGTGTCTTAGTGGCATTATCGCCATCTTCTGTCTTCCTGAAACCTGTTCTTTTATTGTCCTTTCTCCCCACTAAAGTCTTCTCACTCTCTTTCACTCCAAGTAACCCCTTGTGTCTTCGTGGCATTATCGCCATCTTCTGTCTTCCTGAAACCTGTTCTTTTAATGTCCTCCTCACGCAAATTGTTTTCTTAAAATATATTTTTGTTCGGAATTTATAACTCTGAAGTGTCTAATAGTTAGTAATATATGAGAAAAGAACATCAGACTGCTATATTCAATTTTATTTTTAACTTTTTTCTTCGAACTTTTAAGAAATCACGCTATATGAGAATATTTGTTTTGGCTTCCGTAGGTAGATCAATTTACAATGAAATTATATAGCAAACTAGCCGGCTTATTGACGTTTATAAAATTTAATAAATATATTCATATTCTTAGTCTATACTAATATGAAAATAATTGAAAAGAAAGCAAAAAAATAAATAAATAAAATAAAATAACCAAAAAAGAACCAACAAAACATTATCTCTGCTCGCACTGCCTACTGTACACCCTGACCCTTGAATCCGTTAGGTGTGTTGTTAAATTACGGGCACCAGATTATAGAGAAATCATTTAGAGATCCCGCAGAATCGTTGGCTGAAAAGCTGTTTTGCGGTACAACTTATAAGACAAGTAGGCAGGATATTCTCTTCTACTGGAAGACTCTATGTCTGGCAACAGGACACTGCACCATGCCATACAAGCAGGAGAACCCAGTCATGGCTGTCATACAATTTCGGCAACTACATCAGCCCTTACATCTGGTCACCTAACTCCCTAGACTGCAACCCCCTTGATTATTATGTTTGGGGCGCAGTTGAGCAAGAGAACAACAACAAAACTCCTTTTAACAGCAAAGATGAACTGAAAGCAAGTATTATGGCAGCATTCACTAATTTAAACAAGGAAATCGCCCAGAAGAGTTGCAGGAGATTTCGAAGTCGTCTGGAGGTCGGGTTTGAAGCCAATGGTGATTTTATTGGATAATTTATTTAGTATAATTTAGTATTTCAAGATATTTTTGTGTAATTTTGGTAAATATATCTGTCAAAATGAGATGTATTATTTTCATTTTTGCGTAATGTGGTCGACAATTTATCTAACGCACCCCCGTATATATATATATATATATATATATATATATATATATATATATATAATATTTTTTGTTTTATTTACCCATTTATAGCGCTGTTTCATACTTAGTGATTTTTTAAAAATGGCTGATTATTTTAATGGCTCTCTCTCTTCGCGCTTTTTAATCTCTCTCTATCTCCCCCTCTTTTCGCGGTTTTTAAATGAAATGCGTCACGGTGCTGACAGTTTGAAATAAGTTCATTCCTTTCATTTTACTAAATAAAGGACAATTTATATTTGTAGTTTTTCCGTCATGTATAGATTGCAGTTTCTTTCCATGTTTCGCTTTATTATTTTTATCATAGTCCATTCTACTAATGGGATTTTGAGGTTTATTTTTTATCCCATATATATTTTGACAGAGCGGTGTTATTTGCTACAATTCAAAAACGAAAAATAAAAAGGACCAACAGGCATAAATACTGTCGCTAAATAAAACTGGATAAAAAATAATACTTTATAATTCTTTTTCGAAAAAAAAAAAAAACTTTTCTTGACC